TATATCGTTGGTATATCTTTGTGGAATCTAATTGACAAGTTGCATTAGTAGCTTCAATTATTCGATTATGCAGGGACCTGATTGCATCATCAATTGCAGTGGAAGGTAGATTTTCCAATGACACAATTTGATCGTCACCCAGAAATGCCCTGAAAGGGTCAAATCCTAGGGTGTTAAGATTGGGTTTAGGAGTTACAGGTATTCTAAATGGAGAAGTTTGTAGTTGTATTATAACAGGGATATGGTCAGATCCTACGTTTCCACCAGGAGATATACGACAGTGAAAGATGTCACAGTCTCTGTTTGTCAGTACTATATCTGGTGTCCCAGGATGAGGTCCAATGTACGATTTAAAGAATAGGCCTTGAAATGACAAGTTTCTAGCTGTCATGATATTAAATAGTTGTTTTCCTTTTAAGTCACCCAGTGGAATACCAGCTCCACAGTTGAAGAGGGCAGGGTGATGAGCATTAAAATCTCCCGCTAGAATTGTTGGAATATTTCTGCTTAATATCCTATGTAGAGGAATTGACTCTATATATTGTTGTTTCGGGGGAAAATATCAAGTTACTATCACTAGTTGTTCATGAGACGTTGTTATTTCTATTGCAAGAATGTTATCTTCATCAACATGAATATTTTTAAATGTATATCCTAATTTAACTAAGATGGCTACACCACTAAAGGGTCCTCTCGATTTCTCCAAAGTAGAGTAACCACGTAATTTAATATGTTGATCAACTCTTGCAGCTGTCTCGTTCAGAAGTATAACATCGGGATTGTAATTATGTAGTTCAACCTCAAAGAGGTAACGGTTATTAAAGAAATGTTGAACATTAAGTTGGAAAATTGTAATCCCCATTATTTCTTGCACTTCGCTCGTGTACTGCGGTCTGAACGCCTGCAAGTAATGTCATGTTTGTTATCCACACTATCCCTGCTGGACTCGTCAAGGGAAGGAGGGAACTTCCGCGTAGTTGCTTGTGTATTAAAAATGCCATCATCTTCACTAGAGGTGGTAATATTAACAGACTCATTAGAATCGTTAGAGTCCTCATCAGAAAACTGAGGTATGATATTCCCAGTTACAGGTAGCAGAGGCTCGTGAGAGTTAATGGGAGACTGTGGAGGCTCCAAGGGAAAATTAGGTAGGCAAGGTGAGTTACCCTGGGAAAGTTCCTGTTCAACTGGATCAGCTTCAATAGCGGGAGAGTAGGCACCAATTTCTGGGACATTGTTATGTTCAGGTGTTGACTTATCGGGTTGAGGGGAGTTGACAACCTGGGTATGCGAGGTGGGCGATCCCTGGGCCAGGGATGACTTAGGCTTATTTTTAGATGGAGAGTAGGGTACATACTTCTTGCTATGAGAAGGCTGGGTCATAATAGCCTTCACATTTTCTGGGATAGTGATGGGAGTGATCCCATTAGCCATTAACAGATCATTTAAAACCTGAGAGCAGAGTTGAATGTCACCACCTGCTATGTCTTCGGCCATCATATACATTATTTGTGCTCTCGTCATATCCCCGGCTGTAGATACCTGAGACATAGGAGATGAGACTGAACCTTGTTGTTGCGTTTGTGTATGTTGTAGGTGAGGGTTAGATTGGGGCGCTCCAAGAGGGGCAGAATTCCAAACATTGGACCATTGGTAGAGACCTGAGGAGTCCCACTTGATCCAGGCAGAGCTGGGAAGGAAGTTTGGGACATCGTTGGCGGTGCCTGGGGAGTGGTCTTCTTAGAAGTGGACAGTTTCTTGGCTTCAAGAATTTTCTGCATTTCCTTTTTTCTTTCAGGACAAATAGCAGAAACAGCATGATGTTTTCCGTTGTAGAGGACACATTTGGGTGTATTTTTATTATTACAATCTCGATAAGAATGTTGGCCAGAGCAAATGCTACAAATTTGCCCTTGAGTACTGCATTTGTTGGTGTTATGACCAAAGGCATAACACTTAAAACATTGTGTCACACTGACAAATCGTTCAAGAGAGATTTGGTCAGGTGTACATCTGGTGCCAAAACATTTGAAGCCATTTTGACACAAGTTTGGCCTCCTCAGGTGTCTCAAGTATTAACTTTAAGGTTACCTTGTTGTTGTTAGGATTAGAGAATTTATGTGCTTCTACAGCCCTAAATTCAGCATTCTCTGTATTAAAGTCCTCAACAATTTCATTCGCTGTGCTATGTTTCATGAAACTGTTAATTCTGGCCACAAACACAGTCCTCTGAGCTTGATAGCTCTCAGGTGCAACTGGGGTAACACCAGAAGTCTTCAGTTTGTCAAGGACATCATGCTTCAGCAGTTGAAGTAACTCTTCTTCCGAAGAGAGGAGAAGTACTGCTCCAACGTGGGTTTGAAAAACATCCACTGGAGCAACAGTTGAGTTCGAGCAAATACATGCTAGAATAGATTCATTTATAATTAATAAAATTTGGTTAGAGTTCAATAATACACTGGACAAATAATAAACCTTATTTCTTGGGTAGAATAATTTGTCAGCAGGACCCGATACTGCTACTGGGGACGGTCAAGATTCGAGGCAGCGCTCCTATCCACTCAGCCACGAATGCCACATAAGTTGGGCAGCCTCGTTCACAAACCATGCTTCTTTCCCAGCCCGGGCACATCAGTGAGCCTCAAGCATGGATTCAAGCTCTTTCAGTCTCCTCCTGTATGTTCTGACCTTTCAAGCGATTTTTGTGTCAATGCACCACGCAGAAACAAGCGGGGCTGGGAAAGAAACATGGCTTGTGAACCAGGCTGCCCAGCTTATGTGGCATTCGTGGCTGAGTGGATAAGAGCGCTGCCTGGTAATCTTGTCCGTCCCCAGTAGCAGTATCGAGTCCTGCTGACATTCCATTTTATTATTTTTGATTGATTTATCATTTATTGTTGAATTTCTTTATTGAATTGAGAGTAAAGTCAACTCACTGTGCCATTAATTCAAATTAAAGTAAATTTGAGTAAATTTGATTTGAGTAAAGTACAATTTATTTTGATTATCAAAGTGTTGCTTATCCAGTTGAGTATTTTATGTGAGTTTTCCTTGCTCTACAGTGTGACTTGTTTTTTTTTTTTTACTTATGCAGAATAGTTAAGCATTTTCTTCCTATTTAAGCTTATTGTGCCATTCTCTCTATTATTCTTGCCTTTATGTCCTTAAGTACCCTGAGAAGATGTCCCTGTCACTTTTGTTTGTTCACTTAGTGTATCATGCCAGTCAAAGTCGATATGAATCAGTCCACAGTACCAATATTCCCTTACTGACTGAAAGACAATACCTAGCCCTTGAGCAATGTGTTTGTTCTCACAGCTTGTATCTGAGATGTGTTAAAGTGCTGCGAAATGTGAAAGTTCAGATTAAGTTTCTATAGATCCGTGCATTACTTATTAACGTAGCCGAGCGGTCAGGCGCTAGTAATACTGTCACTCCTGTTTGGAATCCAGCACAATATCGTGCACGCAGGATAGTGTACAGTTACCTTGGGTTTCAGAGGAACCTCAGACAACCCTGGGTGCTGAGACTACTATCCATGCGATGGCGACTTGTTCAAGTAGTCGTTCCTTCCAGGGGACGCTTTGTGAAGAACGTTACTTGTAATGAGTTATGCCATCTCTTGTTGATACCGCAAGCAGTTGCAGAAAGACGTTTCTGTGGCTAGTGTGCTCACTTGAGTGTTGTTGTTCCTTGTGTTCCAGATGGTGATACTATCCTAGTTGACAGTAATCCTTGCCGTGTAACAAGTTGTTTCTCGAGTAACTTTCACATGTTGTTAACTTTTGTAAGCGCAGTCTCTTTATAGCTGATACCGTGTTCCTTTCTTTTCTCCTGTGCTTGCAGTGAGAGATAGTAGACCCATTCTCCCTTGCTCATATTGCTTGTTACAGCTTTATTTTTTTTCACCCGGGGAGAGTCATCCACTCCACCGAGTTTGTTCATTCCTCCAGTAAGAAAGAACCGATCCCTTGTGGTCTGATGTGATTCGATTCCTGCTCCAGGAAGATCTTATTCTGACTGTGAAGCCACCAGCACCCATTAGTGACTCTGTAATGAACCAAGAATTACTGTATCGAACAGCCGAGTTGGGAACTCCAAGCAGAAGAGTATACCAGTTAGTAATTCCACAGTCACTAGTGAATGTAGCTGTATCTTTTGTAGATACTTGTTCAGATCTCCCTCAGTCAAGGCATGTGTTAGCCATTGCAAAGGAATTCGATCCTCCCAAAGATGATAACCATTCTGCATATGTAAATCTTACCCTCGCAGAGTTGGGTTTAAAAGTACTTAGCCTGTATAATGATCTGTGCGTGCCAGATCTGTTTTTGCTGTTAATTACTTTCACCTTTGTAAATATATATATTCTTCCTCAGAATCCGTAGAGTGCATGAATACAGATCGATCGATCAATTCCATCCTTTATTATACTATGATTTGTTCTTATAATGTGTAATGTATTGCGATACCACCCATTACGATACCACCCATTACGATACCACCCATTAGTTCTAAGTTACGTATGTCTTTGCTATTGTATAGAATCAGCCCAGACACACCTGCTTGTTCAGCCTATAGCATAGTATTGTATGTCGAGACGACATACATAACATGACCGAGCTGTCAGCATAGTTGCTGATATCCTCTGTATATGTATATGTTATCTGAGTATCATAGTACCATCCATATGTTTTACATAGTTGACCCCTTGCTAGGCTCAGTGACTAGCATGTGTGACGTCACATGATGCCGCATGTGAGCCCTGCGCTCCCGGCTTCATCCTCACTCCACACTTAGGTCTACGAACTGGCAACACACGCAGTCTGGGCTCCCCTCTCACACTCTGCTAATATAAGTGTTACCATCCAACAAGTGTGTTTAACACCAACCATCACATCTCCACGAACCTTCCCAACATGTGTGTGTGTGTGTGTGTGTGTGTGTGTGTGTGCTTAGCAGCGTAGCAGAAGTCACTAAGAAGACAGAAGTAAGAAACTTACCCATCTGGCAGCCAGCGTTCCAGAAGTCCTGTGGGTTGTAGTTGGAAGAATCAACTCTTGAGGAGTTGGGGAAGACCCTCGTGAGGAAGCGCTTGTTGTGGTTCACCAGGTCCTCAGGACAAGCATGAGCCAGCTTGGCTGCTGAAGACTCACTCAGGCTACACATTTCGCTGACGTTCTCTGTGTGAGAGAAAGTCAGGCGTCACACGGGTGTTCTCTGTGTGAAAGAAAATCAGGCGTCACAATGGTGTTCTCTGTGTGAGAGAAAGTCAGGCATCACACTGGTGTTCTCTGTGTGAGAGAAAATCAGGCATCACACTGGTGTTCTCTCTGTGAGAGAAAGTCAGGCATCACAATGATGTTCTCTGTGTCATATGCCCTGTCTCCCACCCTCCCCACTTATCCTCGTCCTCATATACAGTATTCCTCTCAGTTTATAATCCTTCTTTTCCTCCATTTCCCGTAACCTTTATCCTCTACTCTCCTTTTGCTCCACTCTCTTACCTCCGGCTTCCCTCACACTCCACACCTTACTCCAAGCCTCTGTCAAAAGAGCACATTTCACCCTGCATTGTGGGGAGGGATCCAATACGCTATCTCTTGGCTAACTTTGCCACCACACATACGGATTCCTCTTGAAGCTTTTGAATGTGCAGTCAGAGAACGAACGAGAAAAGAAGAGAGAGAGAGAGAGAGAGAGAGAGAGAGAGAGGAGGGAGAGAGAGGAGAGAGAGAGAGAGAGAGAGAGAGAGAGAGAGAGAGAGAGAGAGAGAGAGAGGGAGAGAGAGAGAGGGAGAGACAGACAGACAGAGAGACAGAGAGAGAGAGAGAGAGATCGTGTTACCACTATTTACTTATCATGTACAATAGTGTAGCAATACAGTGCGGGCGTTTCCACCTTCTAATTTTCATATTAAATTGTGTAGCCACACACTGCAGGTGCTCCTACCATGTAACTCTTAAATATACAAGTGTAGCCACACACTGCAGGTGTTCCCACCACGCAGCACTCATATATATACGTTTAGCCGCACACTGCGGGTGTTCCCACCGTATACTTAGCGTAGTATAACTCAGCTTTGCTAACTACAATACTATTGTATACTGACGTCTTGTCTTAGCTGTGTTGAGGTCAGAGAAGCGGGCGCGGTGGAGAGAGATGAGGGAGGAGAGTTCTCGACACAGTCGCACCTTCCTGGGGTTGTTGTTTCTCTTGGTCTCCCCTCCCTCGTCCTCGTCAGACACCTCCCCCTCCTCCAGGTCTTCACGAGGCAGCTTCTTGCCCTGTCGAAGACGGTGGGTTAAGATTAAGCAAAACAGAAAGCGCCAAGGTGTTGCTAGTACCTCTACTTTCTCCGCTAGTCCTGCCAACTTCACTTAACCTACCAACTGATAACTCCCGACCAGGTCATCTATAACTGCTGTAACTAATACCTATCTAGCAGTAACTGAACCGTAACCTGTAACTCAACGGTAAAGCACTCAATTCACAACGAAAGTTTAACAAGTTCGATTTCCAGGTAAAGCTAGTGGTATGCGCAATTTTTCAACTACTAATAAATATGTTAGGTAAATGGACACAGATGCAACTAATGTGACATTGTATTGTGGTGACGTTTCACTCCCCAGGAACTTTGTCAATCAGTAAAGGCTTGACAAAGCTCCTGGAGAGCGGAACGTTCCCACAATAAAATGTCACAGTGGCTGCATCTGTGTCTATTTACCTAACATTCTGTCGGTAATTCTGCCATTAATACTACTAATAAATAGGTATCGGATTGCTAATCGAAAGTTGTAAGTTATATGAAGGGGCGGTGGCAGTACACCTAAGACAGAGCTGAGGTCTGACATGACCTGAAACAGGATGAAAACCTCTGATCCTCTAAATTCAACAGAGTAAAAAAAATACCAGGTGTCAGAACTGACTGAAGGACTAGGCAGCAACCCATCCTCTTAACTATCTTAAGTATCTATGGGAATTTCTCACACACGTATGATTAGATTAGAATATAGGCTAAGATACATTACGTTAAATTTGATTAGGATAAGATAGGCTTGGATAGGTTAGGTTAAGTTAGGTTAGGCTAGGTTAAGATGAGCTAGGACAGGTTAGGTTACAGGAAGTTAGGCTAAATTAGATTAGGATAAGTTAGTTGAGGTAAAGTTAAAATAGTCAGATTAGATTAGATTAGGTTAGACGAGGTTAGGTTAGATGAAGTTAGGTTAGATTTGGTTGTCCTCTTCCCCCCCCCCCCCCAAAAAAAAAAATAAGTACTACAACGAGAAAACTTGAACATAGACGATGAAAATGAAGAAAAGCTGTGCGTCGCGAACAGACAACAGACAGACAATGAGCTCGGTATACAGAACTATATCAAGTTTTCATTGTTTAAGGAGCTTTAATTAATCATCCACTTGACTGCCTTTGTAACAGTGAAACTCTGTCATTAAGAAAACACACAGAGGAATGCTAGATCTACGGGTGGACGGCGGCATTATCCATTGATTGGTGAACCTGGAATTGTTGGACGGTCAATTTTTTTTTCAGACTTATTATGCTTAGGTATCCCTGATGCAGGATCCCTTTAGTGTCATCATGGCAGTACTGAACATTTTGCAGAATTTGCTGAAACCCAAAATGGCTGAAAATTGGGATACATCATTCGTGACCATAACTGCACTTACGAGAAGATTTTTTTGATGCTTCAAGAGTCTAATCCAATATTTTCGCATCTATTTTTGGCCTTTGCAAATCTGATGAATAAGACACATTAGCATTGCTTGGTATACTTTATTACTGAAACATCTCGCCTGCGCAACAAGCTTCATTAGTCGAATACAGGAAGCAGAAGAATTCAAGAAGTATTAGTATTAGTTTTGACATAATCAGTCAGTCACCCAGGATAGTAAATGGTCTCTCTCTCAAGTGTAAAGAGATCCCCAGTAGCAAGATATCGTAGTGTTGTTGCGTCACACAAGTATCGTAATTTTGATGTTGCTAATGTGTCTCATTTATTAATTTGTTGGTACTGTCCGTCATCAAAATTATATCATTGCAAATTTGCTTTAACTTTGAAACCTGTAAAACTTTCGTATTTGCTGTATGTGCGTGTGTGTGTGTGTGTGTGTGTGTGTGTGTGTGTGTGTGTGTGTGTGTGTGTGTGTGTGTGTGTGTGTGTGTGTGTGTGTGTGTGTGCGTGTGTGTGTACTCACCTAGTTGTACTCACCTAGTTGAGGTTGCGGGGGTCTAGTCCGAGCTCCTGGCCCCGCCTCTTCACTGATCGCTACTAGGTCCCTCTCCCTGAACCGTGAGCTTTATCACACCTCTGCTTAAAGCTATGTATGGATCCTGCCTCCACTACATCGCTTCCCAAACTATTCCACTTACTGACTACTCTGTGGCTGAAGAAATACTTCCTAACATCCCTGTGATTCATCTGTGTCTTCAACTTCCAACAGTGTCCCCTTGTTACTGTGTCCAATCTCTGGAACATCCTGTCTTTGTCCACCTTGTCAATTCCTCTCAGTATTTTGTATGTCGTTATCGTGTCCCCCTATCTCTCCTGTCCTCCAGTGTCGTCAGGTTGATTTCCCTTAACCTCTCCTCATAGGACATACCTCTTAGCTCTGGGACTAGTCTTGTTGCAAACCTTTGCACTTTCTCTAGTTTCTTTACGTGCTTGGCTAGGTGTGGGTTCCAAACTGGTGCTGCATACTCCAATAAGGGCCTAACGTACACGGTGTACAGGGTCCTGAACGATTCCTTATTAAGATGTCGGAATGCTGTTCTGAGGTTTGCCAGGCGCCCATATGCTGCAGCAGTTATTTGGTTCATGTGCGCTTCAGGAGATGTGCCTGGTGTTATACTCACCCCAAGATCTTTTTTCTTGAGTGAGGTTTGTAGTCTCTGGCCCCCTAGACTGTACTCCATCTGCGGTCTTCTTTGCCCTTCCCCAATCTTCATGACTTTACACTTGGTGGGATTGAACTCCAGGAGCCAATTGCTGGACCAGGTCTGCAGCCTGTCCAGATCCCTTTGTAGTTCTGCCTGGTCTTCGATCAAGTGAATTCTTCTCATCAACTTCACGTCATCTGCAAACAGGGACACCTCAGAGTCTATTCCTTCCGTCATGTCGTTCACAAATACCAGAAACAGCACTGGTCCTAGGACTGACCCCTGTGGGACCCCGCTGGTCACAGGTGCCCACTCTGACACCTCGCCACCTACCATGACTCGCTGCTGTCTTCCTGACAGGTATTCCCTGATCCATTGTAGTGCCTTCCCTGTTATCCATGCTTGGTCCTCCAGTTTTTGCACCAATCTCTTGTGTGGAACTGTGTCAAACGCCTTCTTGCAGTCCAAGAATATGCAATCCACCCACCCCTCTCTTTCTTGTCTTACTGCTGTCACCATGTCATAGAACTCCAGTAGGTTTGTGACACAGAATTTCCCGTCCCTGAAACCGTGTTGGCTGCTGGTGATGAGATCATTCCTTTCTATGTGTTCCACCACTCTTCTCCAGATAATCTTCTCCATGATTTTGCATACTATACATGTCAGTGACACTGGTCTGTAGTTTAATGTTTCATGTCTGACTCCTTTTTTTAAAAGATTGGGACTCCATTTGCTGTTTCCATGCCTCAGGCAATCTCCCTGTTTCGATAGATGTATTGAATATTGTTGTTAGGGGTACACATAGTGCCTCTGCTCCTCTCTCAATACCCATGGGGAGATGTTATCGGGGCCCCATTGCCTTTGAGGTATCTAGCTCACTCAGAACCCTCTTCACTTCTTCTCGGTTGTGTGCACTGTGTCCAGCACATGGTGGTGTGCCCCACCTCTCCGTCTTTCTGGACCCCCTTCTGTCTCCTCGGTGAACACTTTTTGAATCTCTTGTTGAGTTCCTCACATACTTCACGGTCATTTCTTGTTGTCTCTCCTCCTTCCTTCCTTAGGGCCCGATTACCTGGTCCTTGACTGTTGTTTTCCCCCTGATGTGGCTGTACAACGTTTCGGGTCAGATTTGGGTTTCGCTTTCTATGTCATTTTCATATTGTCTTTGGGCCTCCCTTTTATCGGGGCATATTCGTTTCTGGCTCTACGACTGCTCTCCTTATTCTCCCGGGTCCTTTGCCTTCTACATTCCTTCCATTCCCCAGCAAACTTGGTTTTTGCCTCCCTGCACCTTTGGGTTTAAACCTGGGCTCATCCTGGCTTTTTCATTATTCCTGTTACCCCTTGGGGACAAACCTCTCTCAGCCTCCTTGCATTTTGTTGCTACATATTCCATCATCTCATTAACTGGCTTCCCTGCCAGTTCTCTGTCCACTGAACCCATTCAGGAAGTTCCTCATTCCTGTGTGTCCCCCTTTTTTGTAGTTTGGCTTCATTCTTCCTGGCCTTCCTGCTCCTCCCCCCACTTGTAGCTCTACTGTGTATTCGAAGCTTTTAAAAACCCCATGGTCACTGGCCCAAGGGGGTCTTCATATGTGATGTCCTCGATATCTGCACTACTCAAGGTGATACTAAGTCCAGCCTTGCTGGTTCATCCCCTCCTCTCTCTCTTGTGTGTCCTTACGTGTTGGTACATGAAGTTTTCCAGTACCACCTCCTCATTTTTTGCCCTCCTGTATCTTGGCCCCATGCGGGTCCAAAATTTTCCCAATTGATCTCCTTGTGGTTAAAGTCCCCCATGATCAGGAGCTTTGCCCTGCATGCATGAGCTCTTCTAGCCACTGTAGCCAGTGCTCTCGTCGTACTCTTGCCTTTTCCTCCTGCTGTTCTGTGGTGGGTTATACATCACTGCTATTACCACCTTGGGACCTCCAGAGTGAAGCGTTCCCGCTGTGTAATCACTTGCTTCTCCGCTGTCTCCTCTCTCCAGCTCATCAAAATTCCAGCGATTTTTGATCAGCAATGCCACTCCTCCACCCCCCCCCTATTCCCTCTGTCTTTCCTCAGGATTTGGTATCCCTTTGGAAAGATGGCATCTGTTATCATACCTGTAAGCTTGTTTTCTGTGAGAGCTATGATGTCCGGTGATGCCTCTTTGACTCTTTCATGCCACTCCTCCCACTTATTTGTTATTCCATCAGCGTTTGTGTACCATACCTTCAGTTTCCTTTCCGACACTGTGGTTTGGGGGGGCCTGTGAGGGTGGGAGACCTGGTAGCATACTGTGGGATTCTATAGCTCGGTGTTGGGTGGAGGCTGTGGGTATGGATTGTAGTGTGTGTTGGGATGGTGTGATAGGTTGTATGGTTCTGAGAATAGTTGTGTGTGC